CAATATTGGCAGCTGTGTCCTTTTCATTTTCCAATTTGCTAATTTTCCTTTTGTCTGCTATTTTCAGGCTAGCAAAGGACGTACCACAATCATTGCTGTCTCTTATACACATCTAGATGTGTATAAGAGACAGATATTATATATTATATATTATATAAAATATAAAAAATAATACAATTAAATGCAAATAAGAAATGGTTCACACACTTATAAAGTATATGCTATCAAAACCTACACATATAAATGCATATATATTATTACTACTTAAAGGCAAATCACCAATGGTGCGTCACAAGACGATTCAAAGAAAAAGAAAAAATCCAAAAAAGGCGATGATGATAAGGACGTTGAGAAAAAGGATGATGTGGAACCAGTTGGATTTTTCAAAATGTTTCGCTATGCCACAACCAAGGATAAGTTATTGTATGCCTTGGGACTGTTTTGTGCCATAGCAACTGGTTTGACAACGCCTGCCAACAGCTTGATTTTTGGTAATTTATCAAATGTAAGTAATTAATACAGTGCATGCTTATAAAAGAATTGTAGCATGCATAGAACTTATATGCAATTATTATTATTATTTTTTTTTTGTTTTTTGTTTACAGGCAATGATCTCTTATGGCGGCTCTGCAAATTATACGCGCAGAACGGCTGACGAGAATCTTTTAGATGCTGTGCAAACATTTGCCCTTCAAAACAGTATAATCGGCATAATTATGCTTGTTTGTAGCTACATATCGGTGACATCATTTAATTATGCCGCTAATGCGCAAATATTACGGATACGCGGTAGTTTCCTTAGGTCCGTATTGCACCAGGATATGGCGTGGTACGACTTCAATCAGAGTGGTGAAGTCGCCAGCAGAATGAATGAGTAAGTGTAGAACATTTTTATGCGCGCTTTATCAAAAAACTCTCTGTTTTCTAGTACGTTCGCCTTACCATAAACTTACAATATTTACGATTCTATACTATTACGCTTTGGGTGCGAAAGACTTTGGTGTCTTCCTTGACTTAGTCTATCACATTCGCATATATGTATATAATAAGTATAATAGCAGCTTTAGACGTTGCGATATATTATTTTTGGTTGAGATAAGATAATAGTCGTCGATTTATTAGACGATAGCAAAAAACAAAACGAAAACAAGTAAGGAAGGGCTAAGTTCGGGTGTCACCGAACATTTTATACTCTCGCATGATAAAGTGATAATCGAGATTTCAGGCGTGGTTGT